ATAGTTTCAACAGTCTACTTTGAGAATTTGACTTTGATTGCACACAAAAACTCTATACTTTTACTCTTCCTCATGCATTTTGTGATTGATATCATCATTTACATCTTTATATGAACTACCTAAGTTATTGTCATTATAATTGTTTCTTAATGCTTATGTCTTTTAACTTTTATACAAAAATTGAGTGCTTTATGCACCACCACTACATAGTATTAGAGTATTGTGTATTTAACTATATACTTACCTTTATCAGTGAATTTTATATTCATATGTTTTCGTGCTGCTAATTAGTGTCTTTTTTCATTTCAGCTTGAAGAACTATCTTTGGCATTTCTTGTAAGACAGGTCTAGTGGTGATGAAAGCCTTATCTTCCTTCATTTCTGAAGGACAGGTTTGTCAGGTATAGTATTCTTGATTGGCAGTTTTTTCCTTTCAGCACTTTGACTCTGTCATCCATTTACTTCTGGCCTGCAAGCTTCTACAGAGAAATCTGCGGCCATCAGTTTGTGGCAAGTCTCTTCTTTCGTTTTGGAGAATTTGATTATTTTGTCTTGGTGTAGGTCTTTTAAAATTTAACCTATTTGGAATTCTTTGAGCTTCATGAGTCTGGATATTTATTTGCTTCCCCAGAATTGGGAAATTTTCAGCCATTATTTCCTTAAAATGGTTTTCTGCTTCTCTCTCTCTCCCCTTCCCTTTCCTTCCCTTCCCTTCCTGGGATTCCCATTATGTGTATATTTGTTCATTTTTGAAGTCCTATAAGTCCTTTAGTCTGTCTTCACTATTTTCATTCTTTTTGTTCCTCTGAATCATTTTGAATGACTTTGTCTTCAGGTTTACTCATTTTTTTCTTCTGTTTGGTCAAGTCTGCTTTTGAACCCCACTCATGTATTTTTCAGTTCTGTTTTTGTGTTCTTCAGATTCAGTGTTTGGGTTTTGTGTGTTTCTATGTCTTTGTTGATATTGTTTGTTGTATCATTTTCCTGATTTCATTGAGGGGTCTATCCATGTTCTCTTCTCACTGCACTTTTATATATATATAAATGATTTTATTTATTTGACAGAAGAGAGAGAGAGCACAAGCAGATGAAGTGGTAGGCAGAAGGAGAGGGAGAAGCGGGCTCCCTGCTGAGCAGAGGGACCGACGTGGGGTTTGATCCCAGGACCCTGGGATCATGACCTGAATCAAAGGCAGACGCTTAACTGACTGAGCTACCTGGGTGCCCCTAAGATTTTATATTTTTATTTTTCTATGTAGTCTCTACCCCCAATGTAGGGCTCGGACACACGACCCAGAGATCAAGAGTCTTGCACTCCTCCAACTGAGTCAGCCAGCACCCCTAACTCACTTAGCTTTTTAAAGATGATTACTTCTGCTATCACCATAAGGAGGTAAGTCCACTCGTCTCAGGAGAATAAGAGACATATAGCTAAAAGCCTCCCACCCCCAACTATAATTAGCCTACATTAGCTGACAGCTAGCCAACCCCCAAGCAAGAGAACAAGCCCAGCTAAGATAAGTAGAGCCTCCTAGCCAATCCTGAGCTGATCCTAGATGTATGAGAAACAAATATTTATTGTGTGTTATTCAAGTTTCATGATTGGTTGTTATGCAGCATTATTGTGATTGATGACTGATACATATAGTACAAAAGTGGTGTATGAAGCATGCAGCAAGCCCACAAATGTTGAGAAGGTGTGTGGGCAGAGAAAGAAAAGTCTAAATCCAGAACAAGTTTCTGTTCCATTGAGGATAAAACATTGCCCTCTCAATGATAAAAGGGGCTCAGTGTGATGCACCTGCCCCCAGATTTCTGACTGGTATGGGGTGGATATAGAACCAGTCTCGGCTTCTTTCTCATTCATGCCTTCCCAGGGGAGGAGTGACTTAAATCAAGTGAAGAATTTGGAAGGTGTAACTAAGACGTGCAGAGCCCAGTTCTCAGTAGTTGGCTTGCCCACAGACAGCATATTATATTTTTAATTGCTCTTCAAGGCACCAATGTTCTGATCTCCCAATAATTAGTTTGTTTAGGTGCAACATCCACTAGTTCTTGGAAGTTTTCTTTGTCCACAAATGGATTATCTTAAAAGGCTACAAGTCCCTTTGCTAGGTGGAAGGCAGAAGTGTCAGACATAGCCGAGTCCTTCCTCAAAGGTCTCTGGACTCAAGGAGGTTGTGACTCCAGTAGGGTGGTCCTCGTCCACCTCTTTTTAACCTACATTTTAGCTTATTTTGTCATATAAATAATTTGGGGGGCATCACACCCAAGTTTCTGTGTCCACTCCCCCTAGGACTGCCTTACACCAACCATGCCTGCTATGAGAAGTGGCCCCCTTTTCAACACTCAGGTTCCTCCCATCACCATGGAGATCATAGAGCATTTCAACTGCTGCCCCTCCCACAGGCACCCCATCAACTTTCTCTTGTGTGGGAGGGAAGTGATAAAATGAGAAGTGTTTCAAAGGGGTTGGAACTTCAGTTGTCTAAATCTTTCCAAGTCTCCTACATACCATCATTCCTTTTTTTTTTTTTTTAAGATTTTATTTATTTGACAGAGAGGGACACACAGCGAGAGAGGGAACACAAGCAAGGGGAGTGGGAGAGGGAGAAGCAGGCTTCCCACGGAGCAGGGAGCCTGATGCGGGCCTCGATCCCAGGACCCCGGGATCATGACCTGAGCCGAAGGCAGACGCTTAATGACTGAGCCACCCAGGCGCCCCTACATACCATCATTCCAGCTGCCAGGATCCTGTTTCTCTAGGGCCACCAAACTTTTCATGTTACAAATAGAGCAAGGCTATCAATTTAGCTGAATAAGTCAGTGACCTGCAGGATCAAAGTGTTTGTAGAAACCCTTCTACACCTCTGATCTTAACACTCATAGTTTCTGAATTTGTCTATCATGACAGCTATTAAAGCCCTTCACTCCAGGAAGCAGGTGATTCCAGGCCAACCACAAGCAATATTTAGATATTTTACTACCACATGCCTTGGTCTTCTACTTTTCCACCCCAAGGCCCAAATTTGAATTCAAAGTATCTCACATTTCCCTCAGGTTTATTATCTCCAACCCATTCTCTGGTATCACCTTCTCTATCAGTTAGGGCTCTTTTGAGTTGCAAATAACTAACACTGGCCAAGTAAAGGAAATAATGAATAGACTGGAAGGACACTGGGTAGCCCAGAGAACCAAAGGAAAAACTAAACAGTTCTCAGGAAGGACAGTTACCAGAACAGCTCTATCTGTACAGGAACTATTCACAGTCAGTGCTACCACTGGAATGACTTCTGTGTGTCCTTCTGCTCAGGGAGCCCAATAGGCACCAGGCTCAGCCTTTGGTTGAGGTACAGGCAGGGCACCATGGCATTCCCACAAAACCGAGTAGTCTCCAGAAAGGGGAAGGGATTTTTGCCTGGTAAAAAACAGCAAAAACTGCCTCAGTAACAAAGCCAGCTCATGTGAAAGGAAGGTTAGAGATACAGGAGTTCTTAGGAAACCCCAAAGTGGGCAGTTCAGCCAGGATCCACAAGGTACTGGGGTGGGTGAAGCGCCAGAAGCCAAGCTTCCCTCCAGCTATATGGCCTCATTCCAGACCTGTTTGTTCATCAGCACAACCAGCCCCAACCTATGACCTCTCAGGTAGCCCTTAGTCTGAGTCTGACTGCACACTGGGAGCCCAAGAGTGCCAATCAGCTGAGACCCGGGGTGGTGGGGGGAATCAAATTTCATGGAATAAACATGGCGGCTGGGGCATGGTTACCTCTACAACTAACACACAGTGGAGGAATTCCTGAAGAGTGAAAGTGCTGGTCAGGCAACCCCAAATGACCTTCACTCAATTCCCTTCCTCTATTTCCTTTTTGTAATATGCTCTTCAGGAAATCAATCTTAAAAGAACTGACCCTCTCACCCTGAACTATGCTGATACTCCTTACCATAGAAGGGCCATCAAAGCTGTGACCAAGAGATAACCATAATTCAATAGGCTTTCATTTTAATATAAATAAGTTAATTTCTAATAATATGAAAGAACCCAGGACTCTGCCACTGTCAAATTCCAGAGTAGTTAGATTTAAATGAAAACCACATTTTTATATCCTAAGTCGAATCCAATCATGTGACATGCAGATTAGAAGGGGTCAAGTGTATAACCACCTCCTTTGTGTCATGGAGTCAAGGACACAGCAATTCCAAATTGGGTATGATGCAAACCAATTGTAGCCAATAGTGATCCAGTTAGCAACCTGGCCAAAAATCTCTGATCATGATGGAATTACAGGCATATTTAAAAATTACCTCCCAATTTACCTGGGATGGTAACCTACCAAACTGCATGAGATGTTTTGGGTGGTAAAGTCAGGTTAAAATAAGGGAAATTACTCCCCTGAAAACTTTTAACCTCGAGTTAGGAATAGACACTTTAAAGAGATTCTAGGGGCACCTGGGTGGCTCAGTTAAGCATTTGCTTTTGGCTCAGGTCATGATCTCAGGGTCCTGGGATTGAGCCCCACATGGGGCTCCCTGCTCAGTGGGGAGCCTGCTTCTTTCTCCCTCTGCCGATGTCTGATGCTTCCCCTGCTTGAGTGCTGTCAGATAAATAAAATCTTAAAAAATAATAATAATAAAGAGATTCTAAACCATAGTATTAACATTTTTATGTTAAGGGATCACTCTTGTTTGTAGTTTTCTTGCTTGAATCTCATATTTGAGATTAAAAATTAAAATGTATATTAAAACATACTTCTGTTTATTATCAAGTTTAAAAACACTATTGGAATATATAGAAGTGCAGTTAAAAATGTGGAATCCTATAGTATTAAGATATCTCTTAGAAGGAATTGTTGAAATAAATACTTAAAAATGTACTAAGACGCGTAAGCCAAACTTAAAGGCCTAAGGAGGCACTAAGCTTTTGGATTTCTAGTTGTAACAAAAAACTGCATTTACCAACCCCAAACACTTAAAATGGACAAAAGAAGAGACTGACAAATATCTTATTTTTAACTTTATTTTTATTGTTGACACTATTACAGATAGATAGAACAACCACAACCATATTATCAAACCAAAAACCTGTGCACAGAAACAAGATGAAGAAAATATATCAAGATGTTAACCACAGTCTTTGGATGGTGAAAATATGGGCGAGTTTCTCTTCTACATTTCTGCAAGTTCAAAGTTTCTATAATGAACACATACAGTGTTTATAATGGAAATATATGCGATAAAGGTGGATTACCAAAACACTCTGATAAAGACCATTCGAGGAAACCAAGATAAAATATTTAACCATAATCCCACAACAACCACATAACTATTTAACTGTCTTCCATATTTCTTCCCATCTTTGACTCTATATATACTTATCATTAACACCCTAATTATCATAAGACTGGTGCACAGATCAAGATGTTAACAGCAATTGTTGCTGGGTGTTGGGAAATGGGTGAATTTCTTTTCTTCTAGTTTACTGAATTTTTCCAAAGTTTGCTATGAGTATGTATTATATTTGTAATGGAGAAATACATACATAAGATTTAATACCAAAACACCAAAGGTCATTCAAGGAATTTGAGACAATATATTTAACCATAATCCCACAATGACAACACTATTTTAATTATTTTCCATAGTTTTTTTTCATTTTAGACTTTATGCATACATATTTAACACCATTATAATCACAAGCTTGTGCACTAAAACAAGATGGAGGAAATAGATCAAGATGTTAACAGTAGTTGTTGTGTGTTGGGAATATGGGTGACTTTTTTCTCTTTTCTCATTTAGTGTATTTTCCAATTTTTCCTCTGGGTATGTATTATGCTTGTAATGTAAACAAACATAATAAACTTTGTTAGCAGAACACTATTATAAGGAACATTTGAAGACATTAAGATGAAAGTATTTAACCATAATTCCACAAAGATAACATAACAGCTATTTTGAATACACATTTTGACACAGTTATAATCATAAACCTGTGCACAGAAACAAGAATAAACAAGATGTTGAAAGAGTATATCTGTCTTTGGATGGTTGGAATATGAATTTTTTCCTCCACTTTTCTGTATTTTCCAAGTGTCTGATAATGAGTTCAAATTATGTTCACAATGGAAAAGTGATTATAAACTTTTTAGTAACACTACCATAAAGAACATTCAAAGAATTTAAGAAAATAATGCTCAACTATAAGCCTACAACAACAACAACAACACAACAGCTTTTGACTATAAGCATACATTTTTAATCAGTTATAACTGTAGTATAAATATAATTCTGTGTCCTGCTTTTTCCACTCAATATTCCGTAAATATATTTCCATGTTGCTACATAACTCTTCATGATTATCATTTTTAAACAGCTGCATGACAGTCCATGGATACCTTCATGTAATCATTCTCGTACTGTTTGGCATTTATGTTGTTCCTAGTTTTTCACTAACGTAAGGTTGGAATGGGCACCCTGATGTTTGGCAGGTTGTTTAATACTGCCAACAGTGATAAACCCAAATTCACCCCAATAACATCAATGCTGGTTCCCATCTAAAGAGTCCTCCTGTAATGTGAGGCCTCAATGCTCCTTGAATGTCCATTCCAACCTCAGGTCTTTCTATGCAGCTGGCCCTCACCTACACCAAAAAGGCTTCTTAACTGCCCAGGACATCCTGCTCAATTCATTCCTACCAACCTGGTCTTCTAAGCCTTGCTTCCCATATTTCCTTCTGTCTGCTTCCTAGCCTCCTAGATCTGGTGATATATTAGGACTCCCTTCTTTGGCTTCCTCATTTCTGCTTCATGCTTTCAACACTACAACCTCCCTCGACTTTGGCATTCCCTGCAGCTCTGACATACACTCTCCAAGCCCCAACCATGCGGATCTAGGAGAGTGAGATTTAGACACATTCCCCCAGCAGGTATATTAATTTTGCTTGCTCAAATTATCTGCTGTTATCTTTTGCTCACTTAATCTACAGATCCACTTTAAATTTTTTTTAAATTTTTTTTTCCAGCCAACTCAAAGCCAAAAAATTTAATAGTCATTATGCAAGGGGAGGGGAAGCAAAAGGAGCACAGGTGGTCCACAGAACAGGACACAGGAAACCTCAAGCTATGAGGTCAATTTGTGATTAAGTGGAAAACTGAGGTGATCGGACAAACATACACTAATGAATAGCTCGGAAATACTTAGAAGGGCTGAAAGAGGGAGGAACAGATGGTAAGGAAACAAATTAAGGCTGCTGGGGAACCTGAGTCCATGTTAAGCTTAAGTTGACTGTAAAGAAAGCTTTTTTTTTTCATTATTTTTAAAATGCAAGTTAGACATGGGGTGGAGGGTCAGACAGGTGAAGACGAGAATTAAGTGATAGAAAGCTCTAAGGATACTAGCTCCTGGGCACCCAGGGTGCAAACTGATTTGTGGCTGTATAATACTAATGAAGCCACGCTGCTACTTGTCACTTAAGGCAGGAAGCGCACAAAGGAAGTGACGGAAATTGTAAGCCTGCATCCTTATTTACAATATGAAAGCCTCTCCCTCTGGTTCTCAATCATCAGTAGGCACTACTGTCATCTAGTGATGGTTGCAACCCACTCTTTAAAGGCAAAAGCATAAGATTTATAGGGAAAAGCTTCAGCTTTTATAAATTCACTATCAAACACATCAAGTTGGTTAAAAAAAAAAACAAAACTCGTAATATTTTTGCATGAGAATCACTGCAAGGTACAATATGGCAACCAACCACTTTGGGTCACAAAAGGCCAATCCACATATTGTAAAGGCTTACACAGCATTAGGTTCCAAAGTGTTGGTGTAGACAAAAAGGCTGAAAAGAAGTTCCAAGTACTTCTCTTTTCAAACAGCAAAGAATAAAAGACATTTTACCTTTCATGCTTACACTTTTACAGGAATACTTAAGGGTAAGGAACAATACACAATTACTCAAAACGATACTGATGGGGTTCAAATAATGCACAATAAGTCTTTCTCAGAATCTAAGATATTTAGAAATATATTCTAATTTGTTGCTCTCTTCCTCCTCCAAAAAAGAAAAAAAAGAAATCAGAGTACCAGGTAAGGTACTCTGCACAGTAAACTGTAACTGTATATCATATCAAATCCAAATATATGTGATTACTGTTTTGCTATGATATGCTATTTTATATACATTGCAGGGATCATTATATATAGGTTATAGAAGTGTCATTTACATTTGACTGGGCAATTTCTGTAATCTCAAAAACTTCTAGGATTTTCCCTCAATAGATTACTCAGATGAAAGGTATGTGCTATAGCTTTCCCACATGCATACACTGATGTGTGATGGAGGAGAGCTAAAACCAAAGGAGTTTTCCACCTTCGGTCTCCTTTTAGTCTGAGTTGTCTGATATTAAAAGTCAGGTGTGTACATGCCAAGGTAAGTTTTCTTCTGACATTATTATGGGTTGAAGTCTCTGGTTTAGTAGGGGTCAGGTTCTAAATGAAGGTTTTCTAAACTTTATACTTGTGTTCTCAGCCGGTATGAGTATTCTGGTGTCTAGCAAGGGAAAGGCGATCACTGAAAAGCTGCCCACAGACATCACATTTGAAGTACTTGTCATCGGCCCTGTCGTTGTCACTAGTGCTGGTGCTGGCATGGCCAGTGTAGTGTGAGCTTTCCCCATAGACATTTCCAGGCTCAAATATTATCACCCTGGCATGGGTTTTCAGGTGCTCACCATAGGCTGAGTTGGAAGTGAAGGTTTCTCCACATTCCCTACAGTCATAGTATGGTTCTTCAACCTGAATCTCTTGATCTTCACCTTCTTCTTCTGGGTCTTCAATCCCTGCCCCATCTGGCTCATCAGCATCTCCCTCTGGCTCTTCAGCCTTTCCCTCTGGCTCTTCAGCTCTTTCTTCTGGGTCTTCTATCCCTGCACCATCTGGTTCATCAGCATCTCCATTGGGCTGTTCAGCCTCTCCGTTGGGCTGTTCGGCCTCCCCATTTGGCTCTGCAGCCTCCCCATCTGGCCCTTCAGCCTCTCCATTGGGCTCCGCAGCCTCCACATTAGGCTCAGCAGCCTCCACCTCTGGTTCAGCAGCCTCCACCTCTGGCTCAGCAGCTTCTACGTTTGATCCCTGGATCCGAAGAACTTCTCGTGGAACAAGGACATTGGCTTCAACCTCCTGGGCTCCTTCTTCTTCTTCCTCTTCAAGATGAAGCTTCTGATGTTTAGTGAGAACTGTGTTATGAATAAAGGACTTCCCACAGTCCTTGCATTCATAGAACGGTGAATCTCTTTTAGGGGGCTCAGTAAGAAATGAGGTGTGAACGAAGGAGGCCCCATAATCATAGGGCTCATCTTTCTCATGAATTCTCATGTGCTCCCTAAGGTCTGACTGATTGAGGAAGGATTCTCCACATGTTTTACATTCATAGTGTTTCTCTTCGGTTTGACTTCTCTGAAACTCAGTAAGGGCTAAGCCTGGACTGACTGCATCTTCACTTCCCTGGCCCTGCTCTGGTAAATCCTCTCCAGTATGAATTCTCATATGTTCACTAAGGACAGAGCCATGAATGAAGTCTTGTCCACACACGTGGCATTGAAGGGATGTTCCTGCAGGAGGATTCTTCTGTGGGGCACGAGGCCTCCGTGGGTTAATGACCAAGGGTTGCATAAAAGGCTCCTCATACCTTCTATGGCCAAAGAATTGATCTTGCTCATGGATTTTCTGATGCTCAAAAAGGAATGAGCTATGAACAAAAGATTCCCCACATGCAGGGCATTCATAGAGCTGCTCTCCAATATAATCTTTCTGATATTCACTGACAGAATGGGTATGGATTACAGAATGCGTGTACTCACGACTGTCGATGAGATACTCTCTGCCATGAACCTTCTGATGATCCTTAAGGTCTGCACGATCTGCAAAGCCCAGCCCACAATCCTTACATCCATAGATTGTGTCTTCAGGCTCATCCTGCTCATCCTGCTCGTCCTGCTCATCTGGCTCATCCTGCCGAGGCTCTTCCTGCCGAGGCTCTACCTGCCGAGGCCCATCAAGGCCTATGCCCTGAATAACAGAGTTTCCAAAGAGCTTCCGACCATGGAATTCTTCTCGGGCATAGATTTTCTGATGTGCACCAAGCTCTTCAATGGTGGCAAAGCATTCCCCACACTCCTTACATTTGTTGCGCACTTGCTGTTCAGCGTAACTCGTCTGTGCTTGTTCTTCAGCGTAACTCATCAGTGATGGTGGTTTAGTGTAACTCATCTGTGGTGGTTGTTTAGTGTAACTCATCTGT